ATATAAGTTCTAGCAATTAAGTGTAAGGACAACATGACCTTAAAATACCTATGTAAATATAATATAGACTAGAAAAGAAAACAAATAAAGAAAGCTAATAGGAATATTTCCGCAACCCTATAGCTTATAACAAAATATGATAATACAAGTTTTATAATGAAATCGACTCACCTATCCAAGAATGATAACATGAATTAGCTTAAAATGTCTAGTACAATCAAAGGAGGGAAGGATGAACCAAGGAAGAGTAATTAGTTTCAATAATTTTTGACAAGAATAGTTACCGAATGCCAATAGAATTTGTTAAAATGGTAATTTTCACCTAAAAACAATAGTATACCATTTCACACAGTTTTAGCAAGGAGTGAGATTAACTGTTAAGAAATATTTGAGATAGAAAAACAAAGATTCAACCATAAATTTAGAAACATGAATTATTAAGAAGAATATAAGATATGAGACGAATATCAATTTTCAAACCGAGAAGAATGCTAAATCATAGTTTCATTAGAATACATAGTGAATGATAATAATACTATAAGAACAAATTTCGAGGACAAAATTTTTAAAGGAGGGAAGATTTTGACACCCCAAAAAACACCATTTGTTATAGTTCTATTATTACCTATCCTTCAATACCCCAAGTCAAATTAACTGTCCTATTACACAATACTCAGTAAAGTTTAGAAATGAGTGATTAGGAAGCTCGAAACATTGGATTTCACCATCAACTATTAAGACTTAGAGAACTAGTCACCTCTTGAGCATAGCAAGCAAGCGTGTATTATATCAAAAGTGTTTTTACATGACATGACTACATATTTACCTTAATTTCACCATCTTACAACACTCTAAAGATAGAAATAGGAATTGATAAGATGAAACCCTTAAAAATGAATACAATTGGTAAGAAACTTATAACTGAAAGCATGCCTTAGTGAAGCAAACTTAAGAGTGGAAATACTTGAAGATTATTAGGAGTTATGAGAATGCCTTAAGTATAGATTTGTAAATACTAAGATGTGCCTATGCACTAATTGAGAAGTTTAAAGATCTTAGACTAATGTACATGTCATTTAACATCACGTGTCATTTTACTAATTGGGATTAGTGTTAATCAAGTGGGATAAGTGAACCTTAATCAAGATTAATTAAGTTAAACCTTGTTTAATTAGAAACTAACTTTGATTAATTATAACTAAGAATAATTAACTAAGCAAAGCAAGTAAGATTAACTGAATTTGTGAGGCATACAAATAAATGATACATACACCTCCCTTTTTGTTCCAACTTAACCTTTGTCTTTTCTAAGCCATATAAAAACAAAATAAAAAGAGGAAGTTGTAGAACCAACGTGAAGGAAGGAGAAAAGGAAAGAAAGAAGGAGAAAAGAAGAAGAAAAGATAAAAGGAAGAGAGGAAGCTAGGAAATTTGAAAATTTTCACCAAAAATTCATCAAACAAGTGTTTCAAGGTAAGATTTCTACCTTAATCCTTATAGAAAACCTTCCTACTATCTAAGATTAAGAAGAACCTAGGATTAATTTGAGTTAGGAATGAAGTTATGAAGCAAGAAAATGGAAAAGAGAGGGTTAGGATAAAAACAAGCTAGGTGTCTTTGATTCATGCTAATTTCATCTAGGCTTTGGTATTTTTGATGCATTAGAGGCTTTATCTTCATGCCTTTCCTTAATTTCTAAGAGTTTTTCTAATAGAAATCAAGATTTGAATGAATAGAAAGGAAAAGTTTGAATAAGAATAAGTTCGATAAATTTCTTGAGTAAAACTTGGATTTAATCTCTGAACCTTGAAAACAATTGTGGATTGATTGTATAGCTTTGAAAATAACCTTATTTCCATGTTTCTGCTTAAGTTTAGGATGTTTTTTAATGATTTATCAAGGTCATAAGTCATGAAAACGAGAAGAAATGAGTTAGAACAAGTTGAATATTCGAACAGGTAGGATTTTGCCCAATTTCGCACGTACGGCTGCAAGCCCTGCACGTGTCGCTAGCTTCCCCAGAATCCATTTTGGCTACTTAAATAACTGTACGTGCGGCTACAAGCCCCGCACATGTAGTCAGCTTCCCCAGAATCCATTTTGGCTACTGAAATAACTGCACGTGTGACTCATGTTCCCCCACATGCGGCACCTCTACTCCACGTCCAAACCTTGTTTTCAAGCCTAGTTCGCTTAGGACCCTTCCATGTTTGCATTCAACACTTGTTATGCACTAGTTTAAGGTTTGAATTAAGCCTAGATTAGCATTAAACACTTGAGAAAAGCTTAGGGAAACATCTAACCAAGTTTGAGCACTTGATTTGTCATATTTGTGCAAATATGCTAGCTAGTTCAATGTTTCAATTAATACTTTGAATTTATAAATATAAACACTAAACAATTTGAATATGAATCAAGAAAGTCTCAAGTTGGTTAGAACGCTCTAATAAATCTAGAGACATACAAGCTAAGTCACAATCAAGCCTTGAACAATTTAGAAAACAAGTTAGGAAATATTAAACAAGATTAGAACACTTGAATTAAGATGAAGACTTGCAAGTTGAATTGAATTTCAATGTCTTACTTATGTTTTTTGTAGGTTAAACTTTGAAGAAGATACATCCTCATTCTTGGAGCCATTTGTGAGTAGTAATTCAGTAACGCTATGTTTGTCAAATTATGTTTTCAATGCAAAACTTGATTATGTTTATAAGCTTTGATATGTTTTGTTATGAATGAACATTCTATACTCTTTTATCATGTATTTAGATGACATTCATGGATCATGGCCCGGAATTGGCGGAATATCCAATCATGTATGATTCCTAAGCTCACTTTATTACGTTTAGCCGATACTCGGGCCAGTTAAGACCTTGTAATCTTTGAAATGTCCATCACTATGTAATATTTGCGAGTCGAGTATGTTTTTCCTTGTTCAAGTTAAAGATACGAACAACTTATGTTAAATGTTATATTTATAAATGTTAGTAATGTTCATTCATTTACCACCTTACTTTGTTACTATTCACTGGGCAATTACTCATCCTTTCCGTTATATATATATACTAGCGTATGCCCGTGCCTGAAGGCACGGTGTAAATAATATTAAGATTATAATATAATTGTAATCACTAGGTAAGGAAGAGTTCGAGTTCGAAGAGAAGTTAATTAAAAGCCGGTCTTATAAGTTTATGCTGATTTTGTAAAGTTATGATATAAGTATTGTATTCTAATTCATTATTGAAGTTTTGTAGTGATGCAAGTGAATAGTCCAAGAATGATGTATGCTTTCATTTCATGTAATTATGCATTGCTCTAACTGGATGTTTCAACTGGACTCAATATAAGAAATAATGGCTTTCATACCGAGAAAAGAATAAAATTTGGCCCATTTATCATACAAGTCCCTGTTTTGTAAGTTAGGCCTATGGTAGTCCAAGACTACTAGTTGATCACTACACTATCCTTTTTGGGACGGGTTAGGGTCATGACAGAGTGGTATCAGAGCACAATTTTATTCTCACGCGCTTTGTCCTCCAAACCATTAAGATCTGTGTATAAGCTAAAGAGAAATAGTAAACTAAAGGGAAGGATGTTTTCGAAAATGGTAATAGTGGTTTTTTGCAGCAGTGATATAAAATATCCAGTGCAAGAGGAATCACTGAATTCTTGAAAACAACTCCAAAAAGACAGTCTAATTTTAACTCAAACTTGCTGGATTTGTAATAGCGAGAGATTCATGCCATGCTTCACATTTGACTATGAATTGGAATTTCTAATTGTTCTAACTTAGCAAGGTTGTTTAGGAGTTTGCTAAACTATTGAAAGGGAAAGGGAGTTTTTCATGCCACAGTCAGGACAATAAAGTTACAATACTAACTCTTTACTTTCTCAAATTTGACTCTATAAAGTATGTACCAGAGTAAGACCAAGGATTGGGCCAGTAGATGAGGTGCTTCCTTGCCAGGGGTGATGTTTGGGTCCGAGTCTTACCTGTTGCGTGATGCAACTTCCTAGGATAAAATTTACATTATGTAATGGTTATTATAGCATTTTCTGTCAAATTTTTAACAAAAATTATTTTTAAGATTAAATTAAAAAAAAACTTAAAATCTAAAAAATTAAAATAAAAAAATGATTAAACATAAATGAGTATAGTATAATTTATCCAAATATTTTTTTGTTGTTTACTATTTAATTGGCAAAAATGGATGGTCATAATTCAATGGTCAAAAAAGGTTCCTTCCTCATTTATCCGATATCCTTCTATGTATTTTTTTCCACAATCCGTGTTCAATTTCCATGATCCATACTTCCCATACCAATTCCATTGAAAATTGGATCACCCATTGTTTTCAAAATAATATCATTATGGTGTAACTTACATTTTATTAATTTTAAATCAATTTCCATGATCCATACTTCCCCTACCAATTCCATTTGAAATTGGATCACCCACTGTCTAAATTGTGATATCATAACATTCCTTGAGACGTATACTTCAACTTTCAAGTCATTATGAATAATGCCCAAGCCTTCTCTAGTGGCTGACATGGTTGGAACGGTGTATGAGAGGGCTTAGTCCTCTATGGACTTATTACTTTGGCTTACTTTGGGTACGCTTGATTGGTGGGATTATAGCATAGAATTGTGATTGTTAGTCCATAGACTCACAATCCTATGTTTGATTGCAAATTTTATTAATCAAATTACATGTATGATGGACATTCAATATGACGAAATTGGCAAATTTTTAATATTGAGAGGGATTGGGGATCATAGCCTCAAGTATAAAAGATTAAAGATAAGATGGATATATAATAAATGGTTATCTTACTAATTTAATTGAATAACTAATACTACACTAATTCAGGGATTATTAATCCTTTCACTATTAATCTGTTAATCAAACAAAACCTTCATGTATTTTCTTTCCGAAGCATAAAAAAAATTATGAATAATGCTGTTAATCAGTCATCATTTATCACAAACAAACAATAAAAAAGAGTACTAATTTCAGCAGTTTGGATAAGGCCTGTACACAGTTTCATCACAATGAAGGAAGAAATAACACAGAGATTAACACATAACATAAGAATTGCAGGAAAAGAAATGAAACAAAACAGAAATGTACCAGACATACGGAAACAGCAGTTGCTCGAGCCCGATCCAATGGCGAAGTGTAAACAGCATTAAATCGAACACCCTGTGATTTCAAGAAGACAGCAAGAGCTCTAGCTTGGCGCTTCCCATTGGGGGTGAGTGCAGCATCGGGACACCTACCGGCAATCAAATCTGGTCTCAAATTCATGTGCCAATCTCCGTGACTGATCAAGAACACCTCTGTAATGGTCCGAGCATCGTTAAGAAGCACATCCGACGAAAAGCTCCTGGAGAAAGGCAACGGCGGAGGAGGAGGAGGAGGAGGAGCGAGAACATTGTAAGGGTCCCAGACCTTGATCGAAGGTCCGAGTCGAGGAGTGCCGAAGGAGGAGAGCTGGGGGGAGAGCGGGGATGCCGAGGTGTGGCAGGGCAACATCTCTGGCTCCTGTTCTAGAACCTTCTTCACCAAACTGGTATCGCCTAATTCTCTTCTTGGGTCATTTCTTCGGCCAGTATGGTCTTCTTCCTGCTCAGCCTCCTCCTCCTCCTCATCTTCGTCTTCGTCCTCGTCTTCCAACACTTGTGCGGACTGAGATGCACCCATGACAGCGTATTTCTACTGAAATGGGTAAGGGATTAACCTCTGAAATTTCAAATGATCAGAACTATGAAATTTCAAATTAACCTCTTAAAGGGTGAGAAGAACAGTTGTGATAGAGATTGCCATACCTGAGCGATGAAATCGCAACCTCTGAAATTGCAACCTCTGAAACCTATTGCGAAGGGAACAACCAAGGGTGGGATCAATTCATTGACCCACACACACCAAACCACACACACCAAATCTACAGATGGATTCACTTAAAATCTGATCCAGAAACTGATGAGAGAGAGAGGAGGACCGGCATACCTTGTGATGAAGAGGAGCGTCGGTGATGAAGAGGAGCGTCGGTTACAAACTGATGAGAACAGAGAAGGGAGAGGGATAAAGATAGAATAGAGGGGAGACGTGGGCAAGCGGGAAGGGGAGTAGAGAGAGATAAGGATAGAATAGAGGAGAGACGTGGGAGAGGAGGAAGTTCACTCTTTCTTTGGGCGGGAAGTATGTGTAGGTATATATTTAGGGATAATCTCAGCCATCTATATAAATAAACAAATAAATCTTGACCATTCAAATGTCCTAGTAGGACAATTGTTTCTACTATAATTTCAAAAACCCTCTTCCCATATTATATAGATATATAGGTAAGGAAGAGTTCGAGTTCGAAGAGAAGTTAATTAAAATCCGGTCTTATAAGTTTATGCTGATTTTGTAAAGTTATGATATAAGTATTGTATTCTAATTCATTATTGAAGTTTTGTAGTGATGTAAGTGTAACATGCCCTGGGGGCACCTGCTCGCCTTAACAGTTCGAACCCTCAATTTATTCGATTTAGTCTCACGAGTGTAATGTGAAACATAGATGACAGTCTAGATTTGGGAACTTTTATTATAAAAAAAAAAATCCATTTTATTGCAAAACCTTTGCTAGAAATGGACTACATCATCAGATCTTAGAGTCATCACCTAATGTTTTGGAAAAATTAGAAAACACGTGACTCGTGCCAAGGCCACTATTCATTGTAACCAAGGATGCTTTGCTCAAAACTTTAGGTATAAGGCAGGAAGGTCATTAATTGAGCATCCCCCGCTCACCCGATCAAAAGATCAACCTCTACTAACCCATGATATGATTTTTATTAACTTTATATATTTATATTCTGGTTATTTAATAAATTTTAAAATTTACTATGTGAAGTAAACAAATATAAACTATGTCATCAATTTTCAAATAGATTGATTTCATTTTCTTGAAAATGTTTTTATTCCAAATTAAACAACACAATATTCACTCACTAGCATACATAGAGTTATATCAAATAAGCACATAGCTACATGGTAGGATAGAAAATCACACACAGGCGGGATGTCAAAGCACAAAAACTTACATATTTACTGATGTCTCGCAAATAGGCACAAAAAGAAATTAGTAAATTTGCATGATCTTATATACAAGATTCTAATGTAATTCACTCATGACATGCAACTAAAGATCCAGTTTCTAAACTATATGACATGTGAATCATCTCAAGGCATGAAGTAGCACACAAAATCACATAATAATCGATTAAACCTACAAATATAAATTTAACTGGATCTTAAGGCATGAAGCATGGATGCAAAGCATGGATATGATGACAATTAAAACATACTACATATGTACAGATGTGGATAGAAAATAAAAGAATGGGAAATAAAGAAGCGGGGATACGGAATTATTACATCGTTTTGAATATTACAAATCTGATTAAGGGGGGGAAAAGGAAAAATATTACAACAAAATATATCCTCACAAACACTTTCTAATTAAAATAAAAATGATAAAAATAGCCGCTTCAGAGGAGCCTTGGAGACCGTCAAAGATTGTTCTGCTCGATACTGGGACGCTGCTCACTTTGGTCTAGAAAAGAGTGGTTGGCCGGCCAAAAGATGAGTTGGCCGACCAAAAAGTTAGCCTGCTAAAAACTCTGTTTTGTTCAAACACCAAAAAAACAAGCAGAAAATATGCAAGTGGCTCAAATAATCATTTCCAATTAGCTTATAACAGGTTTATAACATGAAATTGAAGCAAGAAAAACAATATAAGAAAGAAAATGCAAGAAAAGTAAAAGAACATGAAAAGTGTGTAAAATTTACCTTCCGAGGAAATATTTGATTTCCAAACTTCCTTTTGATCACCCTCAAGTTTAGGAATTGTATTCTCCATTCTCAGTTCGAATTTTCAAAATTTTAGTTAGAATGGTGTTTTGGGATTATTTAATAGTGTGTAGGAGAGCGGGGAGAGAAAGTTACAATTCTCTGTTTTTCTCTCAATTTCAACAACACTCACTCTTTTTTGATCAAGGCTCAAGAATATGGCTATAACTAAATTGATGGGATGGTTTCGATCTATAGGAAGATGATATATTAGTGTATTTCTAAGTTTATAACTCAATATTCAAGACTTTTCTCTTTTTCTCTCTATCTCTCAATTTAATTCCATTATCTTTCATCCATTCTCTCTTTCTCTATAACCAATCAAGGAACGCTACTAAGTCAAGGAGGTGGGAGACAAGGTGGAAGACATGGATGATAGGATGACAATGGTGGTTGAAAATGGATTCCACCTTTTAGGAAGATGACAATCTCCCTTTTAACAATTGAGTCTAAAAGAAGATAATAGAGAGGGTAGGTATGTACCTCGTGCATGAATATAACAATAAAAGATCTGTAATGGCATGACCCACATGCATTAAAAAAGAATTCTACCAAAATTGCCCTATTTCTTGGCAAATTATCTGACCGACTAAAATCTTTGCTGGTTGGCCAAGAAAAGTTGGCTATGGCTGACTATTTTGCACAAAACAAGACTTTTTGACAGAATTCTCATCATTTCCTCCTATTTTCACGTTGTTCTTTGCTTAATTTCCTAAGAAAATGTTTCATTTTGAAGTTTAAAAGTGAGCCTTGGAATACTATGAAAATATTCAGAACAAAGCGTGGAAAGAAAGTTTCAAAAGAGAGTTTTGAACAGGATTTGAAAACTTGGCCAAAATAGGCTTAGGTTTGGAAATGAAGTACAAATTCCATCTTTCTTACTAAGAATTTTGTGAAAAGCACATTATTGTTTTCATCAACGGGGTAATCAAAAGAAAGGGTCCAAGTCTTAGGGCCGGTCAAAATTAGGTGTCTACAGTTGCCCCTTTTTGACAGAACTTGAAGTCATTTCTTGGCGTGATGAATGTCAAAGCCTGAAGATGACCCTTTTGACAAGGCAGTAAGACTTAGGCAAGCAAACAAAATGTAATGCAGTTGGTTGAACTTGAGGGTTGCATATATACGTATCCCCTTGCAAGAAATCAAACCAGCGTAGTTCAGGGACAAAATGCAAATGATATGCTCGAAATACAATTGAAAGTTGGACTTACATGCTCCACAAAGCCTTTTTTGTTTTAAAAATTCACGAAGTTTATTTTGGTTTTGACTTGCAATGAATCAAACCAGCGTAGTTTAGGGACAGAATGAATGATATGCTCAAAATACAATTGAAAGTTGGACTTACACGCTTCACGAAGATATTTTTGTTTTTAAAATTCAAGATCCACAATGCAACGCAATAGGTAATATAAAGCATAACAAGGGATACAATCCAAACACATTCACATACAAGAACGAAATGTAACCAATAAATAGTTTTAACCTACAACCTAAAACAGGGGAGGTATTAACTGGTGGATAGTCTCAACTAACAACCCAAGAAAAGGAAGGTATTAACCAATAGTGGTTTGAATTGTCAATAACCCAAATAAGGGATAGTATCATCATCCTAAAAAGGGGCTAGCATAAACTGAGTGGTTTGAACCTACAATCTAAAAGGGGGTCCAGCAATAACTGATGAAAAATGTTGTAATCAAATGTCAATATGAGACATGCAATATGTAGTGATGAATGCACAATAATAATATAATGGATGCAAAACAATATAATGGATACATAAAATGAGTTTTTTTGTTTTTTGATTTTTCCTATTGTTTTCAAAAAATTTCTTGGTTTTTTTTTTTTTTTTTTTGTATTTTTGATATTTTGAAAATTTCTGGTGGGTCGTTTTGCACACTAGAAATAAACACTAAACTGTACCAAATTCCTTAGAATAATGGTAAGTCCGGTTATCAATCCATAGGGACAAATGTGAAATTAAACTAATTTAATTGTTAAAATTCCTAAATTAATTTTGATCAAAGAGATGATTGTTCATAAACTAATGATAATTAAAATAAACAAAGAGATTAAAATAGTAATTAAACGTAAAGATGAAGTTATGATTTTGGGAAAAATCTAGGGTAATGAAATCACCACTAGTTTCATAAATAAGGTCTTAATTTGAAAATCAATTATGTTACGGTTCGAACCAAATACTACATCGCAACTACAAGTCTGAAGCATTGATCAAGAGAATTATCACGTTCAATGTATAGGCACAAACCATCTCAAGTAGCACGAGTCGTTCGCTCTAAACTAGGGTAGTAATTGACTTGTCCCTTGTAGTATGGCTCGTCTCATACCTTGAATATGAAAGCAAAGAAAACCATTGCATGGAAAGCATTCAACAATCACATAAACTAGATTACTTGCAAGAAATAATGAAAAATATATCTAAAAACTTCTTGAATACCATACAACATGTTCAAACCATTACATATTGAAAACCAAAATGAAAACCTATTTACTTGGCTAGGGTTTCATTAAAACTCTAGAAATAGAAGCCTAACCACTCACGAAGGAGTGGGAAGAGGTAAGAGAAGAAGAAACCCCCATGAAAAATGTACTTGAAACTTGCGAACCCTCATTTCCAAACCCTAGCCCCCTCCTCTCTTTTGAAATATTTTGGAACCCTAGTGCAGTTTATTCTTTCTCTTTTTATTCTTAGCAAAACAAACTCAAAATTCTGCGCACGTGTCCCTAGGTGAGCCGCTCAAGCGCCCACAATTTCCGCTCGAGCGGTGGTGGGCCGCTCGTGCAGTGAAGTCTGGTCGCAT